ATATATATATATATATATATATATATATATATATATATATATATATATATATATATATATATATATATATATATATATATACTATATATATATATATATATATATATATATATATATTTTTTTTTCTTTCTTTCTTTTTTTTAATGGAGGTACTGGGGTTGAACCCAGGACCTTGTGTATACTAAGCATGTGTTATACCATTGAGCTATACACCACTCCCACTCCCCAACCAGTTCTATATCTTTAAAACAGCATGCAAGAACAGTCCTGAATTCACAAGGATGGAAGTTCCCATTTGGTAGTTCTAAACTCTGTGGCTCAGTTCCCTGACTCTCAAAGGGAACAAGGACCCGGAGGATGATGGGGTGGGTCCAAAGAGGATATGACTGCTTTACACAGTAGCAGGCAAGATCCAGGCCTCAGGGCTATAGTGCTCCTTGAGGCCTTGGGAGTGGGTAAATACATCTGGTATCCTGCTTAGGTCAGCACCCATACAGACAACACAAATATTCGTCCACAAATAAACATCCTTTCCTCCCAGGCTCTTCTCCCAGCAAATAATGGTTGGTATGCTGTCCACTCGGCATTACCTTGAAATCGTCATTAGTTTTTTTTCTTTTTTTTTAAAATATTTTGGGGGGTAGGTAATTAGGTTTATTTATTTACTTATTTATTTTAATAGAGGTACTGGGGATTGAACCTAGGACCTTGTGCACACTAAGCTTCGCTCTACCACTGAGTTACACCCTCCGCCTATCATTAGTTATTGAAAGCCAAATATTACTTCTGTAAGATAACCAGGAGCCTTGATTTGTTGCCTTTACTTCCATGCCTCTTGCTTACTCTTCAACCCACTATAACTTTCCTTCCACTCTTTTGAAACTTTCCTGCAAAGATTCCCCTGTAACCTCTTAACTGCAGAATATAGGTGATACTGTTTGATCTTGATCTTACTCAGCCTTTCTCTGGCATTAACCTGACACTATTGACCAATCCTTTTATACTTCCTTTGCCATCATGACACCAATTTTCCTCCTACATCTCTGACGGCTTTCAGAAGTCATCCTCGACCCCTCCCTTTCCCTTACCATCCTTCCCACAATCCGATGAATCACCAAATCCTGTTGATTCTACACATTTCCCAATTTTGTCCTTTCTTCTCCATGCCTATGGCCACTGCTTTATAACATTATTCTCCTGTTCGAGGACTTCAGGCAGATTCTTGTGCCTTCTGCAGTTTCTTCAAGTCAATCGGCTACTGGAGTTGACTTTCTGAAACATACTCCAGTCACCTCGAGGTTTGTGTAATTTAATACATTGTATCTTAATCATCTGTTTATGCACCACTGTGAACTTCACCAGACTGTGAACTCCTTGAGGGCAGGAACTGATCTTATCCATAGGACACTGGCTTGGGCTGGGTGGGGAGTAAGGGATGCATTTCGTCAGACACTCAATAATGAGGTAGCATTTCCATTGCATTCGCAAGTGCTCAGGTCTAGCTGGTTCCCCAGCCCCAGTGCAGTAGGAACGGGGATCCTCTGTCCAAAGTTGCAACAAGCTCGGGATTCTCATCTCATTTCACCCCAGTCCCGATCTGCCAGGCTTCCCCTTTGAAACTCCTCCAGCCTTTCCTAGGAAACAGATGCCCTCGAGGACTTCTGGGAGCTCTCTCCACCGATTTTGCGTAGGCAATTAGTGCTACGTTACCCTGATGAAGAAAGGTACCCTTCATTTTAGGGCTTCTTTCCTTCAATTCGGACTGGGCGGAGTAGCAGTGGGGAAAGGAAAAAGGCTGCGAAGAATGGACGAAGCCGACGCACAGCAGACGCCGAAGTGCGGCACTTTGTGCTAAACCCGGGTTTCCCCTGACCCCCGCCTCCCACGCTAAGCTCGACCCCCTTTAGGGCGGGACCTTCCACTTCAGCCAATTATGGGAGCCGAACCCTGGCGGTTTGTACTCTTCCTTTCCAATGAGAAAAAAAGGAAGCCGCTTGGCTCCAGCGGCCAATCGGAGAAGGCGGCGCCTGGTTGTCAGGCAGGTTTGTAAGAGTTCCGGCCAATTGGAGGCGCAGATACCGCTCGACCGGGGCGCAGCGCGCAGGCGGTGGCGAAGAGAAGCCGAGCGGGCCGAGTGCGGCCGAGCAAAGCCGGAGCCGGAGCGGGGCCGCAGGAGCCGGGCCGGGTCCGGACGGGCCGAGATGCCCTATAAACTGAAGAAGGAGAAGGTAAGCGTGGCCCTTTTCCTCGTGCCTCCGCCTCGGGGCCTGCGCGGAGCTCTGGGAGGGGCCTGAGCCAGGCCCGGGACAGCCCCAGACTGACCCTCCCGTCCGGCCCCCGGAGGACTCCCAGGGCCAGCCCTCCGCCCCCGCTGCTGGTCGCACCCCTAGCCTGTGCCGCAGCTGGGAAATCTCCCACCCTTTGCCCGGGATGGAGTCCCCCCACATGCACCTCCCTCCCCTCCTCCGTGCACCGACCCCTGGCCCAGGGTAACCTCCTCCCTCCTGATCCTGCCTCACTCCCAGGTCACTCCCCTGCTTTTTCTACCCCCATCACCTCCCCATCCCCCACCCGTTTGCCGTTTGGGACAGCCCCTCATCTGAGACAGCACCTCCCTCCAAAACTGACCACCCCCCTCCCCAACCCCGCGCAGCCCCTTCTCTTCCCTCCTCCTCTCACCCGCCTGGGCCTGGGCCTGCTTTCTCCACCATCCCTACAGCCCCTTCTCCCTCCCCGCCAAGCTCCTTGACCTAGAACGGCTCTGCTTTCTCTCTCCTCCACCGAATCTGGCCTAGGCCCCTCCCTCTAGTTCTTCCTTAACACACAAACTTGTAAGCCAGGACTGAGCCCTTCCTTCTGCCGATGGAACCTAAGAACGTCAGTGTGTCTGAGCGCATTCAGTGCAATCCCTAGTGATATAGATGAGGAGACTGAGGCCCCGACAAGGGGACAGGGGAAGGGACTTGTCCAAGGTCACACAGCCTGCTGGAGGCCCAGATGTAACATCAGATTTCCTGACTTAATGGCCTCTTTTGTACCAAAGCCCCTCTGACAGGCATCAACCCACTCCCAGGTTCATCCTAAACCGGTCACCTTTCCTAATCTGCGCAGACTCCTCCTCTTATTCCTAATCTGAGGATAACCTTTGTATTTTTCCTTTTCCAGCGCTGGGTTTCTCTTTCCTGGGCCACAACATCCTTAAATTGGGATTCTGCCCTCACTATCAGATTAGTTTTTCTTCTTACTCCACAGGGCAGCAACCTCTGGACACCCTTGCCTTTGTCCTGGTGTCCTGACACAGACTGTCTCTGAATGTTGTTGCCTTCTTTCACCTTCCTCTTCTACCTCTGAACCGCCTTCCCCTCTTCGTCCCTGTCTTTCTCTACCCTCTATTTCCTGCTGTTGCTGAGGTCTGACTCAGAGGTGTGGTTCCTTT